GTCCTGTGTGTGTGTGTGTGTGTGTGTGTGTGTGTGTGTGTGTGTGTGTGTGTGTGTGTGTGTGTGTGTGTGTGTGTGTTGCCTTCACAACAGCAGAGATAATGCAGAATAGCTGCAGGGCAGAAGCATCATGGAGGAGTTTCACATTCACAGCCGCACAATGTTTTATCGGCATCACTTCACATCCTGGACTTTTTCTTTTATTCAGTTTCTATCATTTCATTAGATTTTTCTAATCGAGCGTAGAAATTGTGATTCGATTCCTTCGATGGAACGTTTGTCGTTGAGATTTCTTCATTTGTTGAGTCAGACGAGCAGCTTTTCTCCCTGTCGGCTCCACAAAGGGTTAAAGAGAAAACCTGCTCTCTCCTCTCGTCGAACATGGAGCATGACGTGAACCCGCTGCCCTCCTCGGCCTCGCCGGCTCCATGCTGACACCCTGTGGTGGATCTGCATCACTGCAGGCGCCGTGGTCGCGTGCTCCTTGTGTTCTCTGCAGTCGAGTGCGAGAGGAAACGCGTCGTCTCTAAACACACAAGCTGCGACTGATGAAGGATGTGATGGGACAACAAGAGGCAAACATCCTCGTCTTCCCTCCTTCGACCCCGTGTTCCGATTCAACTTGAACATTTTGTCCAGTGTCTATAGGGTAATCCTCTCTATGGTCGAGCGAGAGAGAGAGAGAGAGAGAGAGAGAGAGAGAGAGAGGGAGAGAGCACATGTGACTGCAGCCAGAGGCCTCGAGACGAGAAGTAGCGCCCCTCTGGTTCTCTGAGGTTTTTAACTTGTCCCCTGTACTCAAGGAGGCGGGCTTTATGACCTTTACCGCAGCCGGCCACCAGGAGGCGATCCAGATGTTTTGGCTTCACTTTGGGCGTCACCAAATTTCCATTTTGTGTGTCTCTCACGGGCTCGTATTAGAGCAGTACACACTTAAGGATGATCCGTGTCCCGTGTGCTAATATGGACGAGGTGGGGTTCAAGGCCTATACAGCAGCCAGCCACCAGGGGGCGATCAAACCATTCCTTTCTTTCACTTTTCACGTCGTCAGTCTGAATATGATGAATTTAGAATTTAGGGAGTGAGTTGCAGTCGTCCCAGACAGGAAGTGGAGTTTGTTGATCGTGCGTTGGTTATTTTAAACTTTTGATAATTTTGTTTTTTTTATTATTATTTTGTTTTCATTGGTTCTGGATGAGTTTAAAGCGACGTGATTCACTAACTAATGGTGCCCGGTGCGTCGGGCTGCGTCCAGAGTCGGATGAGATCAAATCTGTGTCGGGTCGTGTCTCGTCATTAATCTGTGACATGTGCGGCCAGATGGGCTCTAATCTCAGACGAACATGATGATGGTTGGACGATGGAACCAGGAATGAACCCAGAGCTGCTCATTGTGATTAAACACAACGTTACTGATTCTGTGAAGATAATTAACGTCTCGATTAACGTGTGATTTCGTGTAATATTAATAGTGATGTTTTTTTTTTTTAATGTTCCCACGGACAAATAAAAACATACAATTCTACAAAACAAGAAAGAAAACTGACCCAGACTCAGATGTTGTCGTGGATCTCAGTAGGAGTCAAACAGCGAGATGAGGTTTCCTTGTTTGTGAATATACGTTCATGTGACGCCGGCGTCGGAGGCTCAGCGGATTATTTCATCAGGTTAAAGAACGAGAACACGGCGAGTGTTTCGGTTTCTGCTCCGGCTGTCGATCTCCTCGTGGATTTAATTCACGTGTAGTTTGAAAATAGTTTAAAGCTACTTGACCTCAGAGCTCGAGATCTGCATCATAACATCTACGAACTCTTTCCTCCTCCCAGGCGGTCAGTCGGTGCCTCAGGACCCGTCACCCACCTCCACCTGCCCTCCGGGGCCCCCCGGGCCTCCGGCGACAGCCAACGGCAGCAGCAGTGACATCATGGTGAACTTTGACCCCGACCCGGCGGACCTGGCTCTGTCCAGCGTGCCGGGCCAGGAGGCGTTCGACCCGCGACGGCACCGCTTCAGTGACGAGGAGCTGAAACCTCAGCCGATGATCAAGAAGGCTCGAAAGATGCTGGTCCCCAATGAGCAGAAGGTACTACATCTCCCACAATCCTTAGCTGTTACTTGTCACGTGCTCATCTGCCGAACATATTTCCTGACACCTCAACACTGTCGCACCTTCACCTGCAGTTTCAAATGTTCTCCATTATCAAAATACGTTTGAGGAACATTTCAACCTGTTTCCAGTAAAAGTCAAATTACATCAGATATTTTATGAATCAAATGTCAAACTCTCATTTTTCATGATTCCACTGCAGCAGCTGTTTAATTCAGTATCTAATCTCTTGTGAGATATAAAGTTTTCTGGCTCTCAGACAGAAATTAATTAAAAAGAAAAATAATTAAATACAAAAACAAGGATTTTAAAGCTCCGGTGAGATTCACCTCAGCACCTTTAGTTTCAAAAGATAAATACCTCCGAAGAATTCACCTCAAGGAGGCGGCGCTTTGACAGCTCCTGTATTAATGTGGAAAAAAACCAAAGCAGCGTGACGCTCACTATTATCGCTTCCTCCCGACCAGAGTCCTAAAATATTTTGTCCTCAGCTCGTGGCACAATAAGTGAAGCTGTGATCAATGGCTCAATGATTTTATAGCTTCGTGCGGAGCAGCTGCTGCAGCTCCGGAGGCGTCCGGAATTTATGGAGACACGAAGGCGCTCACCTTCAGTCGTCGCCGCTTTAATAAATGATTCGTGCACAGGTTTGGATAAATGATCCCCGAAGCTCGGAGTTCTCAGCAGCTCGTCGTAAACGAGGACTCAGGAAAATCTGAATGAAGGAGAATGACATTTCTACATCAATTAAAAAAAAAATCTACCTGTTTTGGTCTTTAAATAAATGATTGAAAAAGATCATGAAAGCAACATTTTCATTTGTCTCGAGGATTAAATCTGGAGGTAACTAACTGCCGGCTGCGAATGTAAATCACCTGTTTAGCTGCATTTTGGTAAAAGGAGTCTGAATTCAATCTTTCATCTGTGGAGAAAAACTGTCTGAAGGAATCTTTTAGTTCCTTGTCCTAAAACTTCCAGGAACTTTTTCCTCGGCCAGTAAACTGTCTTGTGTCTGTAGTTGTGATTACTCAGCTTTTTTCCTTCCATCCTCTCTCTGTCTCTATTCTCTCTCTCCTCCCCTCCCCTTCCTCCCCACACACCCCAACATACCGGCGCCGATGACAGGACGAGAAGTACTGGAACCGGCGCGTGAAGAACAACGAGGCGGCGAAGCGCTCGAGGGACGCCCGGCGGCTGAAGGAGAACCAGATCTCGGTGCGGGCGGCCTTCCTGGAGCGGGAGAACGGCGCCCTTCGCCAGGAGGTGGCCGACATGAGGAAAGAGCTGGGCCGCTGCAGGAACATCATCAACAAGTACGAGAACCGTCACGGAGACTTGTGAGGAGGAGGAAGAGGAAGAAGGAGGAAGAGGCGGGGGTGGGGAGGAGGAGGAGACCAGAGAAGGGTACAAGGCAACCCAACAACAGCAGCACTTTAGTTGAAGTGGCGAGGGGGAAAGCCGGCGTAGATCTGCAGTAAGCGCTGTGCGACACCGGGCGCAAACACAAACATTGTTTCAGCGTGTCCGCTGTGCTTCAGGATGTCACGACAGGAACGCACAGCGACGCCATTTTTTTCCTCCCATAGTCTGACTCTCTTGTTCAAACGCCGCTTCGCTGACTCCACACGACGTACTGTATCGCCACCTTGTGTCACCTCGGCAGCTTCCCGCCACCCTCGGTGCCGTGCTTACGCCCGGTGTCGCGCCACGTTTTTGCAGGTAGTGCGTCCGCGTGCTGCTCCAGCCAGTTTCAAACAGGGTGTTGAATTCACATTATGCCAGTGGAATCTCACTTTTTAAGCTCAAGGCATGGACACAAGCCAGGAGAGGTCAGATGTGTAATTTTTTTCTATAAATAGAACAAAAATAAAACATGTATATTTTTGAACTGGGTAGGAAGGCAAGACTAGTCCAGCAGAGTGGGGGAGGAGGAGGAGGAGGAGGAGGAGGTGCAGGGTTTTCGTCCATAACGCAAAGAGATTTTGACATAGGATTATTGTATATTTTTCTATTAGCAGATAGTCCGGAGGAAGATTTTGGAGATAATCTTTTGTATATTTTATATATGGGGGCGGGGAGGGGCTGTTAGCTGGACAGTCACGGGGCCACACAAAGCTTTTCCTCCCAGCTGTTTTATCGCTAAACAACAAACAAACAAAAAAAAAATCTATTTTCAATTTCACGGAGCAGGTCAGTGGGAGGCGGAGGCATCACAGAGAATGTATCACGGTTGAATCAGGTATTTCACGGTGTGACGGCCAGGCGAGGTATCTTAGTAACGATTGTTTTCGGCAGCGGGGCGTTGGAAGGAAGACAGTGAAACAAAAATTGTATAGTTTTAAGACATTTTTTTGTGTTGGTTTGTTTTCTTTGTGGGCTCGTTCGAGCACTTGATTTGTTCGATCTTCTATTTGATTCCGTGTCTGATTTTTGAAATAATCACAGGGCTTTTATTTTTGAGGATGCAGGAGAAAAAAGAGAGAGAGAGAAAAAAAAACAGGAGGCAATTATCCAGCGGAATAATGTGAGCAGATGTGTGGTTTGCTTTTAGTCATGTGAACGTGTCGGTGCTCACACACACACACACACACACACACACACACACACACACACTGTTCATAGTAACACAACATGGCTGCGGCCGTTCTCTCTCTATTTACTCCTCAGTTTGTCCAGGAAGTGCAGAAATGAAATGCCGACTGGTTTGTGTTGATTTGCCCGGATTGAACAGTGACTGAAACCTTCAGCATGCAGACACACAACAGACACACACACACACATGCACAGTCCTCACCCTGGATTTAACCCTTATTGTTGTTGTTGATGTTGTTAATGGACTTCTATGGTGCTGATCTGATCTGATCCTTCACCTGACACACACACACACACACACTATGACAAAACTCATGAGCGCACACATGCAAACACACAGAATAAGACACAGTACTGAACTGCCTATACCCTTTCTTTGTCTTTTATTCCTTCTTTTTGTTTCTTTTCTTTCTTTTCTTGCATATTGTATTGATAAATCCTATATAGATTTACACACAAACACTTGTCTATACCTCTCCTTCAGACTTTACCCAATGAGAAACAAGAAATGCACCCTACTGCTACTGTACCATACAACTGTACTATTGAATATTAAACTATTCTCTCACTAGATATATATATATATATGTGTATATGATATATGCTTGAATTATGTGATTATAGTTGTAATATACATTATTGAATATATTACAGAAAAAAAAAAAAATTTGGAATCATTCTGTCAGTTTCTTCTCAGGTGTTTTTGTCTGAGGTATTAAATACACATTAAAAAAAAAAGTGCAAAAAATGTCTTTGATTTGATCACAGGATTCGTGTTGTTTTATTTTGGCGGGCGGGCGGGCGGGCGGGGGGGTTGGTTGTACTTTTTCTCTTTCCTGTTGCGAAGCGTTTCAAACCTGTTGGATGTTGTTGTTGTTCTTAACGTAGAACTGGCGATGGGACGGTCAATATGTCAGTTTGCTAAGCCCCACCCCTTAGCAACCGTCGCTATGCCTGTCAAACTGAACATTCGAGAGCTTGATGCACATGTTACCACGGTAACAGTGACAGATATCCAGGATCCCGTTACGCGAAGTCCGATGATGTAGAAAAGACTCATTAGGTAATAATCGTAGCCTGATGCTAAAGTCCTGGGGCTAAAGCTACGACGTGTTCCTTCAGTACGTTTAGAAAAGCTCCGCCCGTCTTTCGTACCCGGTTACGGTCGGTAAGCTGTGATTGGACAGTTGCTGTTCGGGGGCGGGGTTTGGTGAACTGTTAATTTAGACTTTATTCGGAGACGGAGGCCGAAGCGAAAGTTCTTTGACACAAGTTTCTTTTCAGCTTCGATTGATTTCATTCTCACGTAAATCTTTTTAATTTCCCATGAGCCAGTTTGCTTTGGGCACCAGAGGTTTATGTGAGCCCCAGCTGCATCATGGGAGCTGTAATAGTATCCGTGACACACACACACACACATATATAAATATATATTCATGTTTTTTTTTCCTGTCTTTAATTTTTGGGGAATGTGTTTAAACCTGATAATCAGACTTTTGAATTAAAGTGAAGAAAAGTCTCGGAGCGTCTTGCGTCTCCGTCTCTTGGGGGAAGACGGACGCCATCGTTTTTTTTTTTTTTTTTTTAGATATCTGAGATTTATGGATTTATGGACGTTTCAGAAACTTTTTGGACAATGCTATTTTTCTAAATGTAACTGTGATGTTGAACGTGTTTCCACCTTTTTTCTGGCAGGAGTTCGATGCCCGCTCTTCACACGGGGACAGTTTTGCTGCTGTACGATAAAAAAAAAAACGGCATTGCGGGTAAACATGACGACAATAATCACGTACGCAGCCTTTTTACTTCTCCTTCAACTTTGTGGATTGTCAGTTGTGACTGTTATGAACTACAAGTCCCATGAGCGCAACACCACCCCCGACTCCTCACCCGTATTGTGTGCTGTCCACAGGGCTGATGGGATATGTGGTCTTTTTCCCTCCAAACATCAATAAAGGCTTGTCCTCACTCACAGACGGTTCTTCTGGTGTCTTGCTGTGTGGGGGGAGGTCAGAGAAGTCGGAAAGTGTTGAAAGACGAGCGAAGGCTTTGTTGCTTTTGATCTTCAAACAGGATTTGTTGGCGATAAGAAAAATATCTCGATCGATATCTGGATTAATTATTATCTGCAAAACACCCACAGACCTCCAACCTGAACCAGATACCACTGGTCTCAAGCACAATTCATATTTCTAACCTTTCACTGGAGGAGTCATATCGTTAGCCTCTTCTGTCAGATCCAAAATAATATATTCAAGTTTAATGGTGACGTCGAAACATTTATTT